AGTTTTTTTTTTTCAGCTTTTGTGTACTCATTAATCATAAAGGCTGCTTTGGATTTGACTGGACTTACTAGGTCAACAGACGTTGAATTGGAGAAGATAGTTTTATGGTCTACTGAGAAACCAGTTTTACATGAAAATGAAATACAAGAACAAGAGTTGGAAAATGTTAAGGCTGTGATATAAAGTAAAACATACCTGTGTGAGCCAAGGACAGAATGCTAGCCACTTTTAATTTCCTGACTTTTGTTAACTTGTAATTCAGTGCTTTTATTTAAAAGCTTTTGCCTGCATTTTTATAGCTTATGGGGAGAGTCATATTGGCCAGCTTCTGAGCTACTGTATGCTGACAACAGTTAATCATCTGTTTCTTTGTCTTTTAGTGAAACTTAAGATTCTTATGTTTATGTTGTTCTCATTTTTCGTGATTTGTAGTACAATTAGGAATGGCTGGCTTGGCTGTTTTTGGTGCTTTGGACATATTAAGTTTCATTGCCCAGTATGTGGGAATGTAGACAGCATTTACCAGCTCATTAACCTCTTTAAACTGGCTGCAGAATGGATGATTTTCTGTTACCATCACAGGTCAGTAGATTGCATTGCATTCTAATAGACTTTTGCTAGAATACTTGAAAAATGTTAAGCTACTACAGCATTGATTGATTGATTTGCATGATTTTCCTAATTTATGTGGGTTTTTTTTCTAATTTATAGATTTTTTAATGGGGGGCAAATCCAGATAAGATAATAGGTTAATGTTGTTTTTCTGAAGTCAGAAAGGCAAATGCTGCTAAGAAAACCTCACTAGGTGATCCTGTTCCTCTACAAAATGTAAATATTTTATACACACCCATCACATTTCCAGGACACTCTGTATAGAAAATGTCTGGACAAGGAAGAAGTGCATATGACTGTGTGGTCTCACTGGTGTACTTTACCACTAGTAAGCATCTGCCCTGAATTTGTTCTTAGGAATTTAACAAGGTCAGGAAAGTGGCCTTTGATTCTCTGTGTTAAAAGTAATGTCCTTTACAAAAACCGTTATGTATTTAATTGAAGAAATCCATAAACCTTATTTGTTCAGTGGGCTATGGCAGGGTTGACACCATCATTCTTTCAAATGCAACTCTTACTGAGTCATGGAAATTTTCATAGGCAGGCAATTTTGCTGTTCAGCTAAGCGTTTTCAATCAAGTAGAACACATCATGAGAAAGACCTTAAAAACTAGAAGATTCTGGGTTTGTATTAACTACAACTGTATACCTAAATTTTCTTTTCTGAGTACTCACCTCATAAAGGGCAAGCTTGGTGCTACTTTCTGTTAGTTTAGCAGCAAGTAGAGCTGGGTGATTCCAGATTATCATGTCAAAACTTCTAAAGTCACTAAAGACATGCCAAAATAAATCCCAATCAGGAGTGTTGAGAGAGCAGATACTAATACTACAGTGATTAAATATACTTTCATGTAGGCAGCACATACATGGAACTTGCTTACAGGTGGCTGAATAGTAAGAGATGTTTTGAGTCATGAAGTTAGCAGACCACAAAGCCCTTTATATTAGTTGTTAATTCTATCCGAGCTCTGTAAGATTGTCGTGAAAAGACATAAGAAAGCTTTGTGACTGTCTTGCAAATCATTAATTATAGATGCTGTAGATTAATCACATAGGCTCGTCACAGAGTTTAGGATTCCAGAATGCATCGAGTCAATCTTAATGTCATACTGCAAAAATGAGATAGATGTCATATATTAGATTTTATGCATTGACCTAATAACCTTGTAACAAATAGTAGGACTTCTATCCAGGATTCTTACTTAAAGGAATGCCTTTGATTTGTTTGTGTCACTGAAAACCACACTACAGATTACAGACTCAAAGCTAACTTTTAAATGGGCTATTCAAGGTACTTAGTGAAAAGAAACTTACTTGTTTTTACTGAGTGTAATTTGTTTGTTTTAACTGGAAGTGATTACTAAGCTGATCTTTTCATAAATAGTTACAACTTGAAACTATGCTGAAATCCAAGTCCCTGTTCATCACAGCACTGACACACCTGTGCTCATAATTTAAGGTTAATTGATCTGATAAATGGGTACTGAAGACTTCATGTTGCAATCATGATGTTCTCTGCTATTGGCATATTATGAGAATCTTTGTGATTCTAAGGAATGTATAATTGGATACATTTTTTTTCCTGGCCTTGACATATCATCATAATATTATATACTACATATTATACTTTTATTTACATCTCCATTCTGTTCTTAATTTTAAGTGTCACAACAGGAACTTCTAGTTTTCAGTTATTAATGTAATGACTGAATTTAACTGTTCTATCACATACTGTCCATACATTGTTATTATCGAAATTGGATTTTTCTGTTGACCTCAATCTTGGAACAAGTTTGTTTTTTCAACTTTTGCTTGTACAAGTGTAGTTGCATGTTCATGACCCTCATTTACCCCAAAACTATATTTTATGTATCAGTATAGTTTGAAAATTCTCAGTCCATAATTTGTTACCTTTTTAGTATACTATATCATATTGCAGTTCACCTAATTTTATTTAATTTACTTTTCTCTAATGCAGGGTTGGGAAGAAACTGTGGATGCTGCGGTCTCTTACTTGTTAAGAACTTGTTTGTCAAAGAGCTCCAAGGAGCAGGCCCTGACCCTCAGCAGCCAGTTGTCCATGCCCAAAGATACCAGCAGGCTGAAGAAGAACATCACCCTCTTCTGTGACAGACTGGCCAAAGGTGGTCGCCTTTCCTTAAGTACAGACTCCGCCACTCAGCAAGCTGCTGTCATGCCAGGTAAGACATGAAGTTCATGAATATTTAGAATCCGAAACATTTATTTGCATATTAATACGAAAAATTTTGCACATTTTATTTTCTCGGCAGTTTGTTTTTCATTGATTGTGGAAACCAAACACTGTTTGTGTTGCTGACAAGTAGAATGACTTAAGTAATAAGGTAATTTCAAGTCTGAGGTTTTTTCTCATTTTATTCAACATTTACTGTTGCTCTTACACAATATGCACAGTAATGCAGCAAATGAAACACAGATGATCACTGTTATGCTGAAAACTCTTATCACTTTACTTATTTCTTTGCACTTTTCAATTGGATGTGTGTGTATGTTTCTAAAGTGATGGAAAAAAGAGGAGTGAAAAGTCCTGCTTTCTTCATAAAGAAATTAATATATTTGTATTAGTGGCTTTGTGGAATATCCATATGATAAATCATGAAGTAGCGATAACACTAAATAAAAAAGTCTGCAACTTTTCTAAAGTACTAGTTGACTGGGTAATATCTCACATAAAGTATGAAACTGAAGATGAAACCAATTTAAGTATGTGTTGAGTAATATTTCCCGTATAGAATAAGAATGTGGGCAAGATTTCACAGTGCACAATGATTTACATGAATGTCACAGAATTACTATTTTTAAAGGAAATTTTATTCATGTCCTTTTCTATATTCCTACTTTTTAGTCATAGTGGGAGCAAAGCTATATTTTTTGGTTGAATCTGAAGATTAGCATCTTGTTGTAACTTAGCGTCTTGTAAGACATTTTCTTCCTGCTGTTTTCCTCCAGTGAGACAGATAGATAGACAGACAGACTCTTAGTAAACATCAGATACTCCTGGTGACTTGGAAACAGGTATTTTTTCCCCATCTTTCTGCTCCAAATCTGGATTGGCTGTTCGTTCAGCTCCATACTCTCCTAAACCATAGTATCACTGTGGTCTTTGAACTCAATGCCTTCTTTCTCTTACAGCAGTCTTCACATCTGTAAGGAAAGGTTTGTGTTGTATATATGCATCATACTTAAAATGGGGAGTTTATTTTGTTGGCTTCATGGTTATTGTTTTTGATAAAGATTGGAGTTGTGTTAGGGCAGTGTCTTGATTATAAGTATTTTGCTTTCTTACACTACGAAGAATAATTTAATTCTTGTTTAATATAATATGAATGGTCTGTACAATGTTTCAGCAACCCAAAAGCCCTTGTTATGTGCAGCCCTCCTTTGCATGTGCCACTATAAATGATTTGGTAAAACAGTTGCAGACTATACAGTCGTAGAAATTCTATAAACATGTATTAATTTTCTTTAGTGTTACCCTGTTCCCATATCTGGAACTAGATTCATTGTAGGAAGCTAGGCTGAAAGGATATTGCAGGAGGGAATCTTTCCCAATGACTTGCAGCTGTACTGATGTACCAAGGAGTGGAAACATCAGTGTCTGGCCAATCCGTTTGGGGGATATAAAGGAGTGGGTTACCTGGCCACCAGTTACAGGCACTTGCAGTTTGAGTTGGAGCGTGAGATTGAGAGTCTGCTGGCTGTGCTGTGAGGCAGTAAGGGACATGTGGTTGTGCAAGGGGCAGATATGGTGAGATGTTGTGTGAGGGACAGTCAGGATTAAGTGGCTGGGAAAGGGACAAGTTGGGGCTTAGCCAGTTATGAGGAGTCAGAGCTGTGTGAAGCTGCCTATGAGGAAAGAGTTGTTGGAAAGAAGTTCACTGAAGGATGGCAGGTAAAGTTCTCTAAAAAAGGACTGGTGGTGATGCCAATCATGTCCATCTCAACATAATTGCAACAACTCAAAATAGTGAGTAAGTAAGGGAGGCAGAGTAAGTGTCATATCGGCTTTGCAAATTCGTTTGTATTTCTTGGCAAGACTAAAATATGTGTGAAGGGCATTTCATTTGTTGAACTTTGATTATGTAACCATTATTTTTCCTTCTAAAAATTTTGAAAAGGTGTGAATAGCTGGAGTTCAAATTTTTCCACCTAAGCGAATAATCTGAATTGACTTAATAAGGAAATTCACTTCCTATTCAGATGAGTAGTGTTATTGAGTTCAGGGAATGATGCAATTAGATTATGATTCTGCTAGGAAAAGAGTAAAGTTTTTAAATATTGTAAACAAATTAGAAGAAATATCACTCTTGATAGAATTTGCACTCTCAAATTTTACTCATTAGCTGTTGAGAGAATATAATTTTTGAAAGAGGTTGAAATTTTAAAATGTTAATTAATGAGAAGCTCATTAGAGAGAAATACTTCTGTCAAATGATCAGAACGACATAGTATTTAAGTAGTTACCTTCCAGCAGGATGTGCTGTGTGATTTGAAGCTATGTGTTTGTCTTTGAATGGACTGAGAAAACTTGGAACTTCTTTTTGAGAATAAAGGTTTCACTGGCACTTCTTAAACATGTTTGTCTTGTCCCTTGTTTGAGTTTTCTCTGGCCTTCTCTACCTTGGCAAGTAATGTGGTCTGTTAGAAGCAGGTCTTCAGGCAGAAGGAGTTGAGGCTGGCAACATGATTTGTATCATCTTTGTGCTTCAGTCGAACTAGCTGTGCCTGTACTGATTCTTCTTTAGCAGTTGAAGTGCTAGGTACATTTCTAGAATTCAACTGTCTGGTTAGATTTATCTAAAAGAAATTAATTCCTGTGCTCAAGACCACCCTCAGTGTGAAAACAGTATCGTTAGTGGGGATAATAAAAAAAATTTGACTCGCTGTTGAGTCCAGCTAAAAGCACCTGTTTCTGCCTACACATGGAAGAAATTGAGAGTGATGATAAAGGAAACCAGTTTACAAAATGACTTTGCTGTTGAGTCAAGAGCTCTTTGATAAAGCCTAGAAAATAGAGGAACTCCTTTTCCCAGCCCTTAAAGGGGAGAACTGGGATAGGTAGAGGAGAACAGTGGAGAGGGAGACTGAGAATTATATTTGTATCTGAGGATTTATGGTTAAATGCCTGATGGTATTGTAGGGTAAAGTTCTTCAGTATGTTTAAGATCCAAGCCAAAGATGGTCCCATAATTATTCAGTAGGGTAACTAGCATTAGCTTGAGGATTTTGTTCAATGCCACTCTTTCTTAAGCCCATTCTTTTTCTTAATGATACAAACCTCTTTCTCTGTAGCAATCAATTTTTTAAAATTTCTTTTAAAGTGCCTAGGACTCTTCTAGTATTGCAGCACTGTAACAGTAGGCTTAATTTCTAGAAGTTGTATTTAATATGTTCAAGATGGTGTACCCTGAAATCTAGAGAAATGGCATGAATGTTAAAATTGTGGTTTTGCAGCAAGCTTGCAGTAGTTTGAGGCATATCGAGAGAACACATGCTGATCTTGATAAATAAGAGGAAGGATCTAAGGTTATTAAGAGAGTCTTCAGCTGAGACAAGTGTCAAGGACTCTGAGTAAGAATCTGACAAAGTAAAATTTGAGAAATAATTCCATAAGCACTATTGCCACCGGAGAGGCTCATGGGGTTATATTGAACCATCAACTGAATAAAAGACAGCAATATGTTTCCACTAAAGGTGAATTCCAAATTTGGGTTGTAGTCATATGACTTCTACTGAGGATATATGATTATTTCTTTCTATTCTGCATGTGTAAGATTCACAGGAGCACCATATGAGGAAAACCTAGACAAATGGAATGGAGTTCAGTTTTGTTTCTTTTGAGGGGAAAAATAAAGAGAAATTTCAGGGGGGACATGATAGTTTTCCAGTATGTAAGAAGATGTTATATGAGTGATTAAAATTTAATCAGAATAATTGGCTAAATATGATTGTAATGGTAAACCACATCAGGTATATCATGTACTGTGTTGACTTTGGCAATGCATAAATGGCTGGATGAGAGGAACGATGAGGGGTTAAGGGAGTGATGCCAACCCAAAGTGTGGGTTAATGCCAGGGAGGTGCTTGGAAAGGTAATGTAGACCACCCACCTTGTCATATATTGAGTTTAATGGGTGTGAGAATTTATAGCATAAATCCCGATGACCTGCCGTGAGTTAATTCTGTAGCTTTTAATGGTCTCTTATAATATCTGTGTGTTGTGCAGGATTGCTTTTAAAACTTCATGAGTATTAAGTGTGAATGTTTGAAGACTTGTTTAGATGCCAGACTGATTGGAACTCTGTTTGCAATATTGTTTCACCCCTATTTTGGAAAGCTTGGTTACTCCTTGACTAGAATGTGATCCTGCTTTTCCTATAAGAGTTCCTCATCTGATGTGGAAATAGTGCCTGTATCAGTTCAAGGCTTTGTTCAAGCAAGGATTTAAAAATTTAAATAAGAACTTTACTTTTTTTAGACCATCCATTTTCTTCTTGGTTTTTTTTTTTAACTTCAGTATTTTTTCTCTCTTGGCTTCATTAGGAGATCATTGTACTGTGCTTTAGCATGATTTACTCACCTAGTTGAATATAAGTGGAGCAGTAGAGAGAATATTACTTAACCAGAAAATCAATTACTGATCTCCATCAGTGGTATCTGTGGAATGCTAAAGACTGTCATCTTCTTAGATGTCTGAATCCTTAGAACTGAAATTATAAGGCAAAAGATGAATATTTTGCATCCAGGAAATAGGACTTAAAAATAGTTTTGTGTAAGTGTAGTCTTTGGAAGCTATATAGAGTTACAAGGCAAGATGACTGCCCATTTAGTTTTCCCTGTTGTGTTGCAAAGAGGTAAGGGATTCAGAACATCAATGATGAAGTTTATCTGAACTCTTAAACACCTTGAATTATACTTGATAGCTGCTATAGTAGCTTAGTGTCCTTGTTGGAAGTTTTTCCTAATGTTTGATATACCTGTTTTTTCCTGCAAACCAGAGTGTTTTATTGTGAATATTGAAAGTGGAGCTGGCAATTAATGATGTTCTTTAATTGTTTAAAACTTTGGAGTGTTTTTAGTACATTCCTCCAATAACTTTTCTTTTATACTAATTGTGACAAAATGCTAGCATTCTTTTTATGAATAATTTTCAATCTTAGTCTTTGTTTTCTGAAATGGAAGACATTTTCTTTAGGCTGTGCAGGAAGTATATTGTACTGTACTCTCAATTTCAAGACCCTTTTCTACAAATTTGTTGCCTAACCAGATGTTTCCCATTCTGTATTTATATAGAATCAGCATGATAGTGTTTATTTGACTAGATACTTTGTTTTCATAGGTTTTAAGTTATCAAGTTGATAATAATTTTACTTTGTATAATAATGTTTCTACCATTTAGATTATGAATGGTTAAATGAAAACTTTAAAGGCAAAGTTCTTTATTACATTAAGAATCTATAGATAGAATCTATATTCATACTTTAGGTGACAAAATTTTCTAGGGTTTCATTTGCTTGTATAAGCTTATAAAAACGTGTTTTCAAATTGCCTGTGGTGGCATTTGTGAGTGAATACTGCCCCTTTTAAAAGCTGTTTTCTTCACTGGGAAACTGGGATGAAACAAAATGTATCATATTCCTTAGGGAACTCTCTGTTTATTTGCTATTAAACTTGGGGAGAATGTTAGTACTAATTGGAAAAAAACACGTGGATTTGAGATCCTGGGAGAGTAATATTAATTTATAGATGAGAATTAGACATAAATATTGCTGCAAGTTCTTCATACACTGAGTATATCTGAAGAAGGACTAGTAATAGTTATATCTGAAGAAATAGGATTTTTGTAGCTGCAAATTCTTCTCTTACACCCTTAATTATGAATTCATTGGTCATTAGCGGAAGGGAACATGCAGTATAAATGAAGTATTCTCCAACTTTAATAGACTGAAATTCAGAATATCTTGAAAAATGTAGTGGCTTCCATTTGTACTCACACAGGTTCCAGTCTGTGTTTGTAATGTTATCTCAGTAGCATTTACAGTAACTTTTTTTTCCCCTGGAGAAGTTAGAATCATGTAGTTTGAATTTCAAGTAGCCCGATGAAGACACAGATACAGAAGTTGGCCCTAAGGTCCAGACAATGCTTTTGAACCATCAGCAGATACTTATAAAAATCATGTGGGGATGACAGAGCATGATTTGAGGTCTTTTCCTGTAAGTTAAGTATTGTGAGCTTGAGACCATGAAGCTTTGTCGGTTTTTGTAGCCCCTCGTGGTGGTGCAAAGAAGTGTATATAAATATGGGTTGTTTCTCACAGATGTGACACAAGTCCAGTGTTGTTTATTTCTGCAGAAGACTATAGTGCATAATGAAGTGTGATTCTCACTTAAGATATTTTCCATGTATTTTCTGTAGTAATAAAATATTGAACTAATTTTTTTCCTTTAGTAACCCTTAAAATGTTTCTTAGATATTTTTTCTTATTTTAGTTTCAATATATTGTGTATTCATAAACCTTTTTAGGACTGCTTATATCTATGTAAAGAAGAGTATTCCCAAAGGTTGTAGAAAGTAGTTGAAAGGACTTTGTAGTCCTGGGCACTGTTCAGCGCTGACTGATGAAACTGGTGGTCACTGACCAAATTAGATTCAGCATTTTACCCATCTTTATCATAGTACCCCTCACCTGCTTCCATTATTCCCTTCTTCTGTTCAAGTAGCATTTACCAAAGTGCCTAAAGGACATTGGTAAGTATCTTTGAATTCAGGAAATCTAAACCTTAATAACAGTGCTTATTTCTCACTGAAAATCACTTTGCTAAGGACTTTTTTCTCAGATGTACCTGGAGGCTTTTACTGCCCAAAGCACTGTGTCAGTTCATTCCTACAGATTTCTTGGCACAGGCCCTTAAATATGAAATTGACATTAAGTGACTTTACCTGTTGTAAAGTAAACTCTAACTCATCTTTTCTAGCTTCCTAAAAATCATACAAGTTGATCAATTAAATAACTTTATGGATTTCCCTGGAAAGTGGGTTGTTTACTATCAGTGAAAAAGTATTGTTTTAATGTACAATATAAAACTGCACTCCTCATTTAAATAGACAGTAAGATTTCTTACATTTGCTGGCTAAATTTATTTAGTACACATATATGAAATATAGCTATGTATCACTCAAATATTGCTTTCATTATTCTTCATTTTCTTAAGTGCTCAAAACTTGTATTTACCTGTTTTGAAAGTTAATGTTGCAGGTTGAAAACTTGTATACTATGTGTATTAAGACCAAAACAGATCTATTGTTACTGTAAAAGTAGTTTTGAAATGCCTGTATTTTTCATACTGTCTTAAGGCAAGAAAAGTTTTGTAAAAAATGTACTTTCTATCTTCTCCTTTTAGTTCATCCTTCTGGTGAGGCTACCAGTATGGCTCTGATTCATTTTTCCCCCTCTGATTTTCATGAATTGTTTTCTGTATTCCTCCTCTCTACGTTTGGCTTTGCTGGTTTCCTTCTCCATCCTGTGCCCTTTGATGTCCATGTAACTCCATGCACAGTCCCATCACTAGCCACTCAAGGGAGTAAATGAGTCTGACAGAGAGGGAACAACAAAAGTGTAGGAAGACCTTTTCCTGGTCAGCTGTCAACCTGGAGCCCCCAAAGCAGTAACTGCAGGGAAAATCCTGTGGTACCAGTCTGGATCTATCATGCTAGGAGATTTTTACAAGGTTTGACAAAGGTGTAACAGAGACTGAATCCATAAACAGTGCAATCATTGTGTACTTCTGTGTCCATTTTGTGCAGCACTGCATAGCTGAGCTGTAGTGCCAGTTTAAACATAACTTTCTTCTCTCTGTCTAAGAATGGTAAGAGCTAAGACAGTTCTCTGACTCTTACAGCCCTTGGCATTGTCATGCGCTCCTGTTAAATTGTGTTAGGTGACCTAACAATGAGACATGATATATTATATAATGGAACATGATACAGTGCTGGAGCTTTAATTTGACTTCTAGTTCTTCTCAGAAAATTGTCAGCTGTTCATGATGGACAGGTCTACCTTAATATAAAAG